CCACCACTTCCAGACTATTTCCTGTGATACTTATGTAACTGACAGTGATTTGTGCCACTCTCCTATTCAACTGTCACTACAGCTTGCCATCACACTAGAATAAAATCAAAGCCTTTACCAAGGTCAAAAATAACTTGACTCTGGGCTCTTTCTTCAAACTCATTTGCTTCTACTAATCCTATCTGTCATTCCTCAAAAAACAAGGTAGCACTTGCCTTGGGGCCTTTGACTTGCTCCATTGTCTAGAATGCTCTTCCCTAAATATTTAGCTGCATACCCCTTTGTTCTCTCACTTCATTAGACCTGTTGTCAAATATTATCTCCCTTGATCATCTCTCCCTCTCTCACATTCATCCCTGATTAAATCCAAGCTGCCAAGCTCTCCCACCGTATCTTATTAATATAGTTACTGTGTTCCCTACAGCCCCTTGCTGTTTTCTCTTTTCCACAATGTACTCCTACATAATTTTATTGATTGTCCATTTTCTATCACTGAAAATAATCTCTTGAAGACACAGGTGGTGTCTCATGGCCAGGCGAGTTCTCAGGAAGGAACTAAGCCTATGTATATACCCAGCAAGTACTGTGAGCAGTGACTAGATGAAGTGGCTGGGGCGGATGGCGGGTGGTTGCGATTATCAGTATCCACTAATGGTCTGCTCCAACAGATCAACTCATGGATTAAGACTCTGGTAGGCTACTGCATCCTATAGTGAAGTCCTCATTGATGTTGCATTCAAAAACATGCTTCACCTAAACTAATATCACCTTTCGCTATATTGTTATTGTACATAATAAGCCTCTTTACTCCTGATACAAATGATAGAATACCAATTAAAAATATAAATCTTACACTATTTAGCTACTTTGAGTGAAAGCACATGAAACAGGCATAAATATTCATGAAATGAAGATCAATAATGAAGAGTGAATCACACAACTCTTTTTTAGAACTGATTAGCACAGTAGCAGATAATGAAAGATAAAAGTTTAGCAACACCCATTAATTACATGACTGAGAAGACAGGGTCGAAGACTAGATTATATATCTGGCAAAAATAATTTAAGTAGTTGCACAAAAAGAAAACAAACAACCCAATCAAAAAAAGGGCAGAAGAACTAAATAGGCACTTCTCCAAAGAAGACATGCAGATGCCCAACAGGCACATGAAAAAAATGCTCATCACCACTTATCAGAGAAATGCAAATCAAAACCACAGAGATACCACTTCACACCTGTGAGAATGGCACATCTTCATGTCAACAAAATCAGAAACAACAACTGCTGGCAAGGGTGTGGAGAAAAGGGAACCCTCTAAAGCTGGTGGAAGCTGGTGTGAATGTAGACTGGGCCAGTCCCTAGGAAAGAAGCATGGAGATTCTTTAAAATACTGAAAATGGAACTACTATATAATCCAGGAATTCCACCCCTACCCAAAGACTATAAAAGCTCTAATTTACCCAAAGAATATACCCAAAGAATATAAGCACAGCACATTACCTCTGTGGACTTCTTCCCAAACCACAGTCTAATGATAAGAAAAACATCAGATATCTGATAAGTCCTCATCAAAATTGTCAAGGTCATCAAGAACAGAGAAATATGAACTATCACAACCTGAGCACAAAATGGACCTCGTAATTTTCTTTACTCTACATTTACCCAAAAAATATAAAAACTCTAATACAGAGAAGTATATATGCACACCTAGGTTTACAACAGCACTATTTACAACAGCCAAGATATGGAAGCCACTTAATGCTCCAGAACAGATGAGTGGATCTAGAAAAGGTGGTATATATATATATTCAATTGAATACTACTTGGGGATCAAAAAGGATAAACTCATGGCACTGCAACATGGATGATGCTGAAAGGGATTATCCTAAGTGAAGTAAGCCAGAGGGAGAAAAGATAAATAGTTTCACATATAGGTGGAACATAGAGAAACCAAACAAAGGATCAGCCAAAGACAAACTGTAAAGCCAACACTGGAAAGCTGACCATAGATCTGACTATCCAGCAAGGGAGGTGGAAGGAGGGGTGGAGACTGGAAGGGGAGGAAGCATGGTGGGGTGGGGTGGGGTGAGGAGTGCATAATGGACTGTGGTGGAGGACTATGGGTGCTTTGGTGGTAAGAAACTGTTGACTACACCTGAGGGGAAAGTCCTATATTGTGAAAAAACAAGCAAGGATGTAAAATAATGATACATCAATAATAAAATTCAATAAATAAAAAAATTAAGTAGCTGTTAATAAAATTTCAGCAATTGAACAATATGTAGTTATCTTTATCAACCCCCCCCAAATTTAAAAATAGGTTGTAGAAAACTGAAACAACAAAATGCACATGGTCTTTTCAACAGAGCTATAAGACTACAAGAGTCCTTTTTACACGAAACAGTATTTATAAATAGTGCTATCTATTGTTGGCACAGTAAAAGAGTCTGTGTTTTAGTTGAACAAAAAGTCAGGATTCCCAAGTAGGATTTACCAGTTTTCATAGGTCAAAATATGGTGAAATATACTTGTAAAGAAAGATTAAAAACAGTACACAGAATGACAAAGAATAACAATTGAAAAGTAAGCAAAAGACAGTCATTGCACAGAAGGGCAGCACAAATGGTGAATAAAAATAAAAAAGGTTCAACTGCTTTCATGCTTTCATAATCTGAGACCACAATAAGATAGCATTTTACACTGGATAGATAAAAATGAAAAAGGTTGATAATATGTTAGGAAGGCTGTGGAGCAATGGGAATCCTCATGTTCTGGAGAGAGTAAAATGAAATAACTACTTTGGAAGGCAATTTGGGATTATCTTGCAAAGCTTAACACTGCCACACTGTACAAGGCAGCGATTCTATGCCGAGTCACAGCCTAGTGCTTGTGTCTGGGGTCCCCTACAATGCTTGGAGAAGCACATTCCTGCCAGGTATGAGAAACAGCCCCGCCATTAGCAGAAGGGATACATGTGCACATAGCCACATAACATACGGTCATACAGCACCCAAAAGTGAAGAAAGCATCCCCAAGTCACATATAAGATGTTTAGAAAGCTGGATGAGTTGGAGAAAAAGTCAAGGGGCTACATCCTACAGGGGTGCAGCATTCTCATAAAGCCCTGAAAGAAGCAAACTAAATAACATTGTTTACATATGTATGTGGTGAAACAGATTAAAAAAAGTGAGGGATGAATGATTGAGTAAGGAAATAAATGGGGGTGGAGAGACAAATCACCCCAGAAGAATTGTAAATCAACTGTATAGATACCCCCTGCTTTCAAGGAGGTGGAGCATAACTCCCTACCCTTAAGCAAGGCCTATGCTTAGAAATCTCCTGCTAAGGACAGACTGAGCAGGGGAAAGTGACTTTTGGGTGACGATGTCTGGCCTCAGCCAGTGGCCCAGGGCACTGTCACATTGCTAAGTCTGATGAACAGCGGAGGCCCTTTCATATGGCAATGAAAACAGCACGTTACCTCTGTAGACTTCTTCCCAAACCACAGTCTAATGATGAGAAAAATATCAGATATTTGATAAGTCCTCATCAAAATTGCCAAAAGGTCATCTAAAACAGGGAAATATGAACTGTTACAACCTGGGCACAAAATGGACCTGGTGATTTTCTTTACTCGACATATACGCATGCTATATCTTTTTCCATCTTTATATTGCCTACATATACACATATACATAAAGTGTCACTAAAGTGTGCCTGGATATGCACAAGGAGGGGACAGAGAAATCCTCAGAGTGCCAAGGCTAAGAGTTGTTTTTGTTTGTTTTTCTGTAATGGGATTCTCCTAGAATGGGGTAGGAAACCCCCAGTGGTGTTTCTCTTATGTAATCCCATTATGTAATGGGATTCTCTTAGACTGGGATAGGAAACCCCCAATGGTAATATCTCTTACATAACTTCTGCAAGGGAAACCAGGGAGTGCCCTATCAATGCATGAGAGGCCAGAAAGCTAGTTAAGAGTCAACAAAGTCCTGGGTAGGGCAGGGTCAAAGGCAGGTGAGGTCAGAATAACCTGCAGTGGGGGCAGGGCTTAGAATCTGGCCACTCAGTATGAGCTCCCAGCTCTCAACTACAAACAAGGACCTAGATCTGGAAATCATAATGAACACCACCCTAGATACAAGGGACTTGGTGCCCTTTTCTCTAAAATAAATAATAAGGCAAAAACACTTAGACACATATGACTACCCTTATGAAATACTACAACTCAATCCTATATTTTTTGATTACCCCATAATCCAGCAAAACATAACTGAAAACAAGACGTTGCTCTGAGGAAAAAAAGAAGTGATCAGGGAGAAAGTATCCAGTTACAAAATTTTTTGTAGTGGTTTTAGACCAAATGAAAGAAAAACACTAATTTATAGCAAGCTAATTTATAGAAATCATACCAAGAGATTTTATAGTCCACAATTACAGATCAAATATAGTTCAAAACAATATATGAGTAACAGAAGCAAAATCGGGTTCTGAAGGAAAACTAATGAGGTGGGGAGAAAGTTCTGGAGGTCAAATTGTGATTTCTCATAAAGCTCTCATTACTGCCCCGCCATAGACAGAGCTCAGATTATCCCACCACCAAACAACAACATTTAGGTTCTAAATCTAATGTCCCAAATGATTTGTCTCTTTCTCGTATCTGTTATTACGGGACCTCTGGATCTCAGAGTCCCCAAACTGTCACAGATACGATTTCTTTGCAACACATGTGAGTAGATTTCTCATACAAATAATACTTTCCAGAGAATATCATTATTTACCTCTTTTAATGTATATGTATCTTTTCAGTATCAAATCTGGAATGAGCCTTTCCTGACTGGAAAGCACCAGAAATTTAGTTTTTCGACTAAAATTTAACATGACTCAACAAACCAGGGCTACACTTACTGCCATCTTATTAAAATAAAACCTACAGGACAAATTTCAGCAAAAGCAGCAACTGCTCCCACTTGTTTTAAGCAGAAAATTCCAGGCTTACCTTTGGCACCCAAGTTCAAGAGATGGCTGGCAGAGTGCAGAACTCTTCAAACGGCGAAGTTTTCAGCAGATTACACCTCTCTGAAGCTACAAGGCTGCAGTTCTCCCAGTTCTCAAGTCTAACTCAACTTCTCAGAAGAGAATTATGTTCTGGGAAATCACTTGTATAAAAGGAACATAGGGACTCTACAAAGAAAGAGAAATATATGTACATATTAGGGTTGCTTGCCTATTTGATTTGAAATAAATGCTTGAAAAATAACTATTCATTTGCCTGAAATCAATTATTTCTTTAATGTGTTCCAGACTTTGTATATATTGACCTCTGCCAAAACAAAAAGATTCTCAATCTTTGGCACCTTTCATTCTCCAAAACAGCTCTGAGGTAGCCAGGCTGACCACAAGCTCTACAAAGAAGACATGTGGAGGCTGGGGACAGCCAGTCATTACCCCAGGGTCTTAGCTGTCCTCTCTTAAGGCCCCGTACCCACAACTGCAAACCCTGCCAAAAACAGAAGGGAGCTTGCCAAATGGAATAGGAAGCGAGTGTGGTAACCTAATTAGGGAGAAGGGCTGCAGAGAGCATGGAAATTATTTATTGGCTCTTCCTTTCTTGGAGGAGGTCTCTTGTCTGGCCATTTTGAAGAGTGCCAGCTACTAGCCTCAGGACCTCCATCTGAAAACATGCCTGCAGGAAATGTGAGGATAACATCCCCAAACTACAAGGAGTTAAGAGAAGCCTGGGGAGGTGACCTGGAAGCCTCTCCCTCCAGGTAGTGGAGATCTGCTGTTGCCTTATGTTCCCTACATTCCTATAACTATTTTCAGTCTTTGCCTAGAATTTTCAAGGGGACCCTGAAGCTCTGTGAACCTCTGAGTGAGTTCACTTGACATTTTTAATTATATCTCAAACCTAAGGGGGGAATCTGTCCTGACAGTGCACTCAGAGAAGATCTATTAATTCATCCCGAGCATGATTATGACCCCAAATGTTAAATACCCCATAGAAAAATCGAATTCTATTTTTGTCAAACAGAAAAAGATAATTCAAGTAGGGCTATCATAAAAATGCTAGTGCAAGTTCATAAATTTTGATTAAAAAATTAATTCCTCCTTATGCATTCTCTAGCATTCAAGGCTGCATGATTTTAAAAAAATATATGATTTAACCCAAGGAGAAGTGCTGGCCAAACACAATGAGAAGACTAGGTTTGGGCAGCATGAACACCAGGACGACTGTGCGCTTCTCTCTACTGTGCTTACCATAAAATCACAGGTTCTACTGAAATGGAAGTTTGGTATCTGGACTCAGGTCTTGACACAGAGTCTTATTTCTCACTGCTGTTCTAGTATACACCGCTTAGTGAAGAAAGTCACCAATGAAATACAGTTATGCTCCCAAATGCCATCTCCACGTTAGTATTTTCATAAATCAACAAGACATAAGTTGTTTCTTTAAAATTTTAACTGAGTAAATTTGACAGATCTCTGCAGGTCAAGGTTAGTTGGGGTGTCCAGGTGAACACGAGGTTCCTTCTGCACATACCATGCTCCCCCAGGTAATGTCATTTAATCCTCCCAGGAGCCTAGTAGGAGAAGTATTAATCCTACTTTTACACATGAGTTAACTTTCTCAGGGAGGTTAAATGTTTTCCTTAATAGACTTTAGAGTTAGGATCGCAGGCCTTCAAAACTACAAGTGCACCACACCAATAGCAAATCAAATGCCTGAGTGATTTAGCTACTGGCCAAATACAAGAACAATGGACTGGACTGGAAGCCCAGCCCTTTGATACTCAGTGTGGTGGGCAAAGGGAAAAGCCAGATGGAAAGGAGTGTGATTTGAACTAATGGACAAGTTCCAATCAAAGTGACTCTGCTCTAAGTTCATTCGAAGGTGCTGGTGGCCATGTGGTCCTCATTCAAGTGTGAAAAATGAAGGTTGCATTGTTTTCTTTGAGAAAAGTATTTTATTCACAAACTGTCAATGTATTCAGCACATACCTTAAACAGAAAAGAGTGATCAAAACATTTTTCTCTGGGTTTAAATAAAGTCTGCCCTGCCTATGTCTAACACAGGGTTATCAGCTTATTCAAATCCTCTGTTAAGGACAGCATCTCATATCAGGTCTTAATGACAACCTGTGATATATATCCACCAGGAAAGCATACACCTTCATGCAACAACCACCTTAGGATGCGAATTCTGTGAGGTACAGGGTTACTGGGCCTGCAGAAGACCCTCTCCTAAGAATTCATTCAAGGATGTTCTACACAGCCTGCTCAGGCAGTTGGAATACATAAACTATATGTTTTCTCTTAAAAGTCGTTCTCCACTGGCACCAGGTGCATTTCCCTTTGGGAACAGAGGAGGAAAAAAGAGGAAAAGGAGGGGAAAGGCAGGAACACTATGTCAAATGAATTTCTCCCCTTTAATTTGGACCCTTAATTGTATACAATCTTACCACTGCAAAATCCCAGGGGTTATCTGAATTCCCTCTAACTTACTGTGATTTTCATTTTATCAACTGTGTTTTGAAAAACCTAAGCCTGGATTTTCCCCAGTCTTTCTTCAGGGAGAGAGTTAGCTGCAGCGCTGTCAGCTGGAAGGCCTGGTGCCTGTGCACGGAGGACTGCACCTGCACTACCTCCCGGGACAGGGTGAGGCATCCAGGCACACTGTGGTTGTCCTAGCAGAGTCGAAACAACCCGTGTCAGTGTCAGTCACAGCTAGATCCCTGAGGCGGGGGCAGTGATGTCGACTGCTTTCCTCACTTGGAGTATGTGCTTTGCTTAGAGCCGAGTCAAAGCAAGTCTCTGAGGGTGTGCACAAACCACCTTCGTTCTCAAAAGTACTGTTTTTCTTAGATGTTAATGCCACAAAAGAGAAAGAGTATGTAACATCCTCTGAGTGGGTTAAGCTCTGTGCTCAAGTTCCCACAGGTGTGCATCATAATCCATCTTCTCTACACAAAATAGACCAGGAGAACAGCCCAGATCCCTTACGTGTAGTCAGCGCGAAAGGTTAAAATTTTTTTTCTCCTTTTATTTAAAAAGAAATAACAACAACGAAGAAACACATGATTATAGCTCATTGGGCTGGCAAGTGACAAATGTCTCACTTTGCTTCTCCCCTCCTGCTCTCCCCACTGAGGCCCCTTCTCTGATCAGGCAGACTTTGCAGTGGCCCAAGTGGGAGTCCAGTTGAGAATGAACGTGGAGAGCCAGTGCCCAAGTAGAACAGAGTGGACAGGGCTGTCCTGGTGACCTCTGGCAGAACTAGCTGTATTTCCTTCCCACTCAACCACTTGGTGGAAAACTTTATTCAAGTGGGAAAATGCTGGTTTCAGACACCGAACAAAGCTGCACAGAAAACTGCCCAGTTAAAGTTCAACTGTGGTTTCCTCCCCCAGGAGGGCTGGAACTGAACAGCAATACATGCTCATAGCCTGACACGCAGAGGCTTCGAACTGTCTTCACCATCCCATGCATGGGTCTCAGTCAGGTCTCAGAGAGGACTAATGGTCACAGGTTCGCTACGAAATTTTAAAAAGTGCCACTGAAATTAGAATTTTTACACAAGATGAAACTGTCCTGACCAAAATGAACATCAAGTTTTCTGCTCTGGGCTAGAATTAAATCAGTTCCAAATGAGAGTTAACTGAGGGTTGAAAGATGAAGATGGAAAAAAATACTAATTTCTAACTCTCTGAGCAACCTCAAACAGACATCACATGTGGCGGAAGCAGTTGTTTGAGGGTAACTGGTCAGACTTCAGACTGTTCTGAAATGACGAAGATTTCTGCCTTCAAGTACTCCAGGATTAAGCTGAGAAGAAAGCCTCAGATGATATTACAGTCGTATGACTGTTGGTTTCCTTACTGCTAAAGTCTCAGAAGGAACTTGTAATTCTATGCCCTGAAAATTTTTCTTGTATGAAAGCTGCTGTCTGATTTGCTTCACACAAGTACATCACTCCAGTAATGGAGATAAACACAATGTCCGTAACAATAATTGTCTTTCTTCAAACCCCAGTTTAAATATCATCATCTCTGGGCAAACGACTGATTCTCCTACACAGAAAGTCTTGCCTTCCCTATACTAGCACTCATCATATTGTAATCATTGGATTTTGCATTTAATGGAAATGTTTAATATATGCAATATATATTAAATGCTAAAATAAAAATATACAGAGGTTATATCTCACCAGGTATCTTAGTACTCAGCCTCAACAATTATGGCCCTACAGCCAGCCCCGCAGCCCAGACCTCACTAGATGTCTTTAAAGCCAGTCCCATACAAAAATTATTTCATCTATATACTTCAGTATGTATCACCCACAAATAAGCAAAGCTTCATTATTACACATAAAATGATTAGGTCCTTCATACAAATCTTACATCTAGTTAGTGTTTCAATTGTTTCTTTAAATGACATTCATAAATATCTTTGTATAACTGATTTATTTGAGTCAGAATCCACATAATTTCTACGAACTATGATTTCTTGTAAGTCTTTTAAGTCACTTTACACCTATTCTATTTTATTTTATTTTTTTTTTTTTTTATAGAGGCATGTTTTATTTATTTATTTGTTTGTTTGTTTGTTTTGTTTATACATGCACTGGGTACAGTCAGAAGCGCTGGAGGGTGAGAGAATTCACCAGAGCCAGAGCGGGGAGCAGAGCAGGCAGAAGGACCGAAGTACACTGCTGAGGGGAGCAGCGGGCCGCAGGAGAGGTCTGCGCGCCATGTGGGACCCTCCTCCTGTGGCCGGGGAGCAGCCGGGGATTGAACCGGCGTCGCAGAGGCTGCGGGCAGCTTCGCAACCCAGCGCTCAACCGCTGCGCCACCAGGGAGGCCCACACCTATTCTATTTTAATGGCAGTTTGTTGAAGAAACTGTTTGCTTGTCTTGTAAAACCTCCACCAGCACCTTGTATTTTGTCAGTTTTATTTCTCTTCTATTGTCTACAGGTCCCCCAACCCTGGCATTTGCAGTAAATGAGCAGTTAGCACTAGGGACTATTAGACAGAGAAGACTCACTTTCTCAAGGGCAGGGAACCAGCATTGACCATGTGTTTGGTACAGGAATAAAGCAAATAAACAGTGGGAGGTGCTAATGAACTAGCAAGTTCGTTCTCCTCCTGTTTCCTCTGTTCCCATTTTCACTGGGGATTCTCC